CCCCAAAACCCCAAAACCCCAAAACCCCAAAACCCCAAAACCCCATGGGACTAGGACCAGATTGTGCGTATTTTTGTAATTAATTGAGTGAGGACTAGATAATTAATTTCCCGATAAATGGATTTTTACTTAATTATTAGTTGTTCAGAGGCAGTTTTTCCATTTATTAAGCATTTATGTTGTGGTTTGATATGATCTTTTCAAGTTCCCTTATTCTTGTAATCCTATTTCTTTCTATGATATTTGATTTTTGAATATTCTCCTTAATTTGTTTCTCTAAATTTATTATTTGAGTATTTTTAGAGCCTAGCAGAGCTTGTGATTCATTTATTCCTCTATTATAGGCTTCTCCAATTGTTTGAGTAATAGATGTTTGCGAAAAAGAATCTCTTGATAAAAGCTTTCCCTGACCTTCAGCTATACCTCTATTGAACTCTCCTTTTAAAATCTTTTGGTATTCATCTAGCACGCTCTTCTTTCCTTCTTGAAAAGCTTCATTTTTAGCCTCTTGAATCTTTCTCAGAACTTTCTCATTTTCTTCCTCTACTATCTCCTTTGATCTTTCTGCTTCATATCTCTCTTGTGTAGCAAGTCTCTTGTCCTTTGCTGCATCCTTTCTCAATCTCTCAGCTTCCTTCTTGAGATTTTCAGCTACATCTTTGAGCTTTTTCGCTTGTTTTACTTCTTCTTCAGCTTTTAATTTTTCTTCTAAGCAATCTTTCTTCATTCTTTCAACTCCTTTCATATTCTGTTCAAAGATTTTCCGCTCATATTTTAAATCGTTCTTTTGTCGGTCAAGTTTCCACATCAGGCCTTCAACTTCCCATTTCTCGTCACTAATCTTTTCTCTCTCTTGCTCGAGCTTAGTCTTGGCTTCTTCAATTTCTTTTTCAATTTTACTCTTTTCTTTAGATTGGTCTCCTCTTTCTTTTTGGAGAGTTTCTTTTTCTTCCTTCAATAAGCCTTCATCACATTGTAGCGTCTCCTCTCTTTTCTTTAGCGAAGCTTCAAATGCGTCAAGTTTTCTTCTATCTTCTTCTAGTTTCATCTGTTCTTCTTGGAAAGAAAGTCCTTCTAATCAAGATGATTTTCTGTTATCTTTAAACTTATTATTTTCTTGTTGCCTTACGCCAAAGTTTTGAGACTTCATTAGGTCAAGTTCTTTATTTTCTTCTATTGATTGAGACTTCATGTAGAGAAGTTTATTTCTCTCTTTATCAATTCTTGCTTTTCCAGATTTCATGTTATCAAGCTCAATGCGACTTAACCGATTAATTCTTCTAGCTACCACTGATAACATGCTCTCTTTGGCTTTTGCTTGACTGACCCTCTCTGAATTCTCAGAAGAAGATCAGAACAGTGGAAACTGATTGAAAAAACCTTGACGAGGCACTCGGGTGAAATCAGAATGGGTGATTTCAGGCGAACGCTTCTCACGGAGAAGCCCTTTCAGGGCTAGTGCGTCTGAATAGGACAGCTTCAAGATTTCAGCACGAGAGTAGTCTATCGCTTTAGAATTCATTACTCCTAGATTGATTAATTAATGAATTGTGTCAGTATGAGGAGTTTATAAGGGGTTTTGGGGTTTTGGGGTTTTGGGGTTTTGGGGTTTTGGGG